CTCTCTCTCTCTCTCTCTCTCTCTCTCTCTCTCTCTCTCTCTCTCTCTCTCTCTCTCTCTCACACACACACACACACACACACACACACACACACACGCACGCACACATGTACACACACACACAAACACACACACAAACACAACTTGTTGAATACGTATACCGACTTAAATTACATACCCAATGATAGAATTGTTTAGAAAGCGCAGAAAAAGAACTAAACTGGGTTGTTCTTTCCAAGATATTTGGTGTAGGCAGGTTTATGAGCTGCCTGGTTGAACCGAACTGCTGATGCTAAACGCTTTGGTAACATATTTAAAGAACGCCTGAAGGACAAATTGCCGTTGTCTTTTCATATTCAACTGACAACTCATTCTCTCTAAAAACTATTTATGATAGACATTGCCACCAGTTATTCTCAGACGTTTGTGTACTGGAATTGTAATCTTACATTCGATACTGTATTTTTACATTAAAATGAACGAGGACGATATTTTCCTTTGTGTATATATAGATGCGTACATGTCCAGCTGGGATGTTCTGTGCTGTTTGCAGTATGTTTAATGGCGGGTGCCACGTGAACACGTCCGCAGCTACAGCAATGGAAAGAACATGCCGTACCTTGTTGTATGTTATTGTGTTTTATGTTCCCAGGAAGGAATGGAAATTCGATTTAAGTCTCTGAGGTGTCAAGAACGCAACAAGACATATTCACGCCAAACGTCTGCTTGGAGCTACGTTCCGCGCACACGGGCAGGGTATCAGGTTACCACACGCCCTCTGTCACCGGTCAGCGGAGAACAATGCCCCCTGGCGCCGGGCAGTATCATTGCACACGGACCGTGGCTAAACTGTTGGGCGGACAATAAGACTTATGACAATGTCCTTAACCTCTGGCACAGTGGTAACCTGATACCCTGCCCATGTGCACAGTGGTAACCCGATACCCTGCCCGTGTGCACAGTGGTAACCTGATACCCTGACATTGCTAATGAGGAACGACAGTAACGGTTACCGTTGTTGTTGTCGTCATGTGTTGTTGTTGTTGTTGTTGTGGGACATTGCTAATGATGAACGACAGTACTCAATATTTCGGCGTCGGTTCAAGGGATGTCGGCCAGGGCCACTTCAGTTCTTTTGCGGATCGTAGGATCAAAATACGGTGCCGTGCGCTCATTCCTTCGTCGGTTGTTGTTGTTGAGATTGCAAACTCGTCTATCTTTTTTGCGGATCGCGTATATCGGCAGAACAAAACACGACGCCATACGTTCAATCCTAAGGCATCGGTTCTTGGGATTGTAGACTATTTAATAGTCCTTTTACGGATCGTCAGATGAAAATACAGTGCCGTGTTCTCAATCCAACGCCGTCGATTTTTAGGATTGTGGAGTGATGATCAGTTCTTTTGCGGATCGGCCGAACAAAATCCTGTGACGACACCACGCACGAAGTCCTGCATCGGTTTTTGAGAATTTAGACTGGTCAGCTCTTTTTCCGATCGGCAGAATCGGCAGAACAAAATAGGTTTGCCGTGCGTTGAGTCAGTTTTGAGTGAAGTAAAGATAAAGAAAAAAAATGAATCAAAAACAAGTACAGATTCACCGACTCACCTCGGTAGTGTTCAGACGTTATGTGGACGATCGGGCGTCGGGTTCTGGTGGATGCCTGTGGCTCGAAGAGATGAAAGAATAACATTCTTGCTGACAGAACATTTTCTTTGCACAAGGAAAAACAAGAAAATTTTGGTAGTGTGGAGTTTGCCACACATATCTCTCTATTTGGCCCAACTCGCTCTATTTGGCGCTATACTTTTTCCAGCCGCTTCCCGAAGCCTGGTAAAGACTAATATAGCCTCGGTCGGCAGGTGTGTCGCGGCCGCCGTGTAAACTATGACTGGTAGTGTTTCCCTATAGACCAAACAAATTATAAGAGCGTCAAGGTGTCGAAA